TAGCTCGTCAAATTTTATTAGTTTCATTTTATGTCATTTCAAATATTGTACACTTTCTATTATCAAATTCACGTAATCTTTTAAAAACGATTATTATTCTACTTTGATACTTGTATCAATTATATAATGTTATTAATAGTGTTACTTACCTGTCTGATACCATCCATCTTATTTTACGGTACACATGATACCCATTTTTGTAATTATTTTTAATTATAATAAGTAGTAAGTATACAAAGAGTTATACAACGAAAAGATTGATGAATGAGTAAAATGTTATCTTTTAATACTTTTATATTTTATAATTTTAACGGTTCATAAAAAAAAATATATAAATGTTGTTTATTTACAGTCTAAGATAAAATTAAATAATTTTGCATATAAAATACATTTTTGAAAAATTATTTTAATTTATTAATAATTAGCTTTATTTTATCAAAGGCAACTAATTTAGCAGTTTACTTTTAAAACAATGAATTGTAGAATTATTTTTTAATACTGCATATATATTGTAAAAGAAATACACTATTGATGTACTTATAAATAGTGTATTTCTTTAAATATTAATAAAGCACGCATTTACATTTTATTCATAAATGTGCTAATATTAATTTTTGGAAAAAGGTATTTTATAACTGATCACTCAATTAATAAAACTGATAATTTTATTAACTCTATTGTTAAAAATATTAACTAGTTAAACAGATAACAAAAAAATAAATAAAACTGTATTTTGATATTTTCTCCCTAGTTTAAAATTACAACCTCATTTCCACTAATCGTCGAAACTCTACTCTAATCTATAATGATTGTAACTAATATTACGTTTTAATTGTACATATTCACAACTAGATGTTAGTTTTTTGGTAAATATCTGTTGTAGCACGTGTTTGAGATTACATATCTGAATCGTCGGAGACTCATTTACCGTTTCAACCTATGAAACATGTTGCATTCCACTGGATTTCAAAATCATCACTCCATCCGGAAATTCTAGGGTACAAATAATTAGCACGTGCCTACGTTTAGGAAGCTTCTCCTGTGTTTTACCGGCCGGATGACACCACGTCGTACAATCCCCACGTACAAAACAAGATAAGATGGGGCAAATATCTGGGGGACGCTGAAGACAAACATCACAAACTGCACGGTACGATTTCTTTTACCATATGAACGGTATTTTTCAAATAAAGGTGTTCCGTAGGATTTAAAAAAATATGTCTTTAATTATATGATCTTGTCCTACAGACAGATCTCCAGCTACCGGAGAGCAAATCACAGGGATCCAACCACTGCGTACGTATTATACGATCCACATGTAACCCAAATGGGCTGACAACTGAAACAATACCCGCTGGTTTACCATAAGGCATTGTACACGTTTTTATGGGTCTCTGCAGTGAGACCTAACAATGACGGTTGTATGCCCTAACGTCGTTCTCTAGCTCCCGTGGACATTTGATGACCTGCACATGTACTGTTCGACAAGCTATTCGACACTAAGTCGCAAATGAATATGTTCATCTAAAATTTCACAACATTTCAATACGGTCAATGTCTACGAATAGTACAAATTTCATTATATTCAAGGTCAAAACACTAATTATAATTTCATATAATTATTTCTGGCATTCATATTTTTACATTTTACTGACTTATTAAAAGATTACGGTTATAGTATTGCTAATTTAAACAGTCCATTAAATCAATTTTTTTGGATGTAATTAATTCTGTTTTTACATCGATTAATAACATTTTATACACATCTAATACAATTAATTAAATTTCACATAATTTATGGTTATCGTACAATTTATAATGTTCTACTTGTTTCATTTAGAGATTATTGTAAAAAAATGCTGACGGGAAAATATAGTTCACTCATCGGTTAAGTTCAATTCACATATTCTATTTTACTAACCTGATCTATGTTTAGAATTATAATATTGTAAAAATGACGGTTAACATTCAAAAAATATACGAATGCGACCCTGCCAGGATTCGAACCTGGAATCTTCTGATCCGTAGTCAGACGCGTTATCCGTTGCGCCACAGGGCCGGATGTTTGATCAGAGAAATTTTTAAGTGATTAAAGCGGCGTTACTACTAGGGGACCTAAGAGTTTTGTAGTATCTGAGTTTATACCAAAAAAATTAAAAATACACCACAAAATTACATAAAACAAATGAAAATTATCAGTCGAGATTTCATTTATAATAATTATTATTATGATGTTAAAAAAATATAAACATAGACGGTAAAAAAAAAAATTTTTCCTTCTATATTTTTAATTTGTATTTAAAGTATATTCAAGAAAATAATCAACTGTTAAGTCGTGGATAAATGACTCATTCTAGTCTTATTTGTTTAATAAAAAATTCAATAATTATGATTTTTTATGTAGTGGACTGCATTAAAACGATACATATATATAAGCTAGACAGTAAGTCCGCGCGCGAGCTCGCTTGCTATGTTACTGGTTACTTACCAGAAAAACATTGGGCGGTCTCTTTGTTACTATTTAATACTATAAAATTTCTTTGATAAGCCGCGCCCGTACCTCAATAATAAATACTTGCAAGATCAAAAATTATTAGTGAATGATTATGAAATACATATTTTAGTATTATCAATTTAAATTTGACTAAAAATGTTCACTACATTTAGACGATTTTGTAAAACATTAGCTAGACATGTAAACGTTTAAATGAATAATTTAACATATCAATAAGAGAATAAAGCATAAATATTTTATGCAATTTTTTTTATGAATATTAATTGTTTAAAAATAAAATAAACTAGAATTTGTCAAATTAAGAAATTTGCCAAGACCCTTTCAAATTCTAAGAAAATTTTATTAATATTTATTCTAAGATAAATATTAGACCTAATTTAAAGTGTTCAATAGAGTACAGACATATGAAAAAATTAGAATCGTATATCAAGTAGAATTTTATTAGCAAAAAAACCATGAATAGATAATTAAAAAGATTTAATGCTTGAATACTTCTTTTGGGCCGTGTTATTGTATCTGATAATAGTTAATATAAAATGTTTTTATAAATATAATGATAATATTTAACTTAAAACTTAACAACTTAAGAAGGATTAATGACTAACACATTGAAGAATAATTAATATACTAGCGTGATATGAAAGACTGGGAATCCTCAGCTCAAATAAACGTCATTTTAATATTATGAACATAAAAGTTATTACTTAATTGTTGGTAAATAATGACGAAAATTTTACAATATCCATAAGTTTTTATACTTAAGAATTTATCCCACTAAACTAAACAAAACAAAAAAAACGAGCATAAAGAATATATGATCTGTTTTTGACATGAATGGATTTTTATTACTGTTTCAAATACAATTTGTAATAAAAAATACAATTTTCCTGCGCGTTTCGGCAATAAAATCAATGGCGATTTTTCTCCAATTGCGATAATCCGTATGGTCCATTACTACTGAACAAGGTTTACCAACGTATACCAAACAAATCTTCCCACGCACACGTGTCTGCTTTGCCAACGGTATCAACAAAAAATCGAAAATAAGCAGTCGACCTCAGATGTTTACGTAGTACGATTATCAACTGCTGAAGAGCGGCCAAAGTCCAAGTCGCACAATTGCCCCATTAGGTGCGCCCGCCGTCCACAGCAACGACTACCGACAAATTAATTCTGTCGGCCTGTCGCCAACCTAATCTATACCGCATCACACAGATAATACTTTGATGATAATGAGCTCTTTAAAAGTTCTATTTTTAGGTTCATGGAATATTTTAATTTTAATTTTACATCGTTCCGGCTAATGCGTTCGATTACTTAATTCATTTACTAATGTACATTTGACAGCTACAAATTGCATGTATGCCACTGTAGCATTCATCCATCTAGTGAAATAGTAAATGATTTTTTTTTCATTAAGATTTAATATTTGAAAAAACTTATTGTTTTCAAATATATATTTAAGGCTTTCATGTAAACAATTTTTTTTATAGTTTTTAGTAGATTTTTCTGACGAATGAATTATATTAGCATTAATGTACACTCAAGAAACTTTTAATTACTAATGTCGTTCTATGAAAAATAATTAAAAAAACATTCTTTAAAAATGAAATACTAACATTGCAAATTAAATTAAGTGTTTCAGTTATACTAGACAATTCTAAGACTAAAACCGATAAATTATAATTCGCAGTAGGGATTTGTGACCATAGTATGGAAGTAACTCGATCAATGAAGGAGGATAAAATAGTTCGGCAGATGTTTCAATTATACCTAAATTTGCAATTGGATTCCATTTGAAACGATAGGGCGACCACAAAAAATCTTTTTGGGTCTCCGCCTTCTGTCTAGTTATCCTAAATGATTAATATTACTGACACGCTTTCAGTAGTTTTTCTGATCAAAAAACAATTAGAATATCGTAAGTAAAAATACTATAAAATATTTTTGTTTATAAAACTGCCTGCAGATAACACGTCCTTATATATAAATTGATTATACAAATGATTTATTAAGCATACTACCCCTGTTTTTATCGATAAATAATGATTTTTTTTTATAAAAATATATAGATTATAGTTCAGTTTATTTTTATAAACCGTTGTAAAATGTAAAATATATTGTAAGAAAAAAATTATTCCTAAGGGTAGATTTTAGGGGTAACATTTGAAAGCTAAATGGGAACCTATTATTAATTGTATTAATAAATAAAGAATGGTCTAAATAAAATTTTGATTGATCCATAACAAGTTTTGAATTATTCCTTTTTGAGATGTTATAACTTTTGTTAAAGGCGAGGAGGGTAGAAGAATTCTCATCTGC